TAAATTATAATTTATTATATTTTTTTGTTAATCCATAAATATTAATATAAAAAGTCTCCATAAAAAACTAAAAAAATAAATCAAAGCTATTATGAAAGTTAGAGCTAATTTAAATATGAGAAAAGTAGACATAATCATGTAATTAATTTCAGATCATTATTTATTTATTTATTTATTTATTTATTTATTTATTTATTTATTTATTTATTTATTTATTTTTTATTATAATAGTTTAAACAAATATAAGATATTATTAATTAAGAAGTTTAAAAGTAAAAATAGTAGTAATTTATTGATAAAAAATAATAAAAGCTTTAGAAAATATTTAATTAAAAATAAATGTTTCAAAAATAAAGAAAAAATTAAGTGAACATTTTTTGTTTATTTTATTATATTAATTTTTTATAATAAATAAATAGATATAATAAATTATGTAAATTAGATAATAAAAGATTGAATAATTAAATAATGAATAAATGAAAAAGTATTATTTGAGTTTATAAAAATTGCAATAAAAATCAGATAAAATAAATTATATAATTAAAAGGAATTAGGTTTTTATTCATAAAATAATTTAAGAATAATAATTAAAAAATGTTTTTTTAATAATAAATAAAAAATTTCTTTAAAATTTTTTAAAAAAAGAATTAAAAATAAATTTAAGTAACATAAAAAGTAAACTCTTAAGCTGAAAATTAAGATAATAAAAATGATTAGCAATAATTAGAAATATAGCAGAGTGTTTAATAAAGTGATTTAACGATTAAACATACTAAAGAATATAAGTTTATATATAATTTTTTTTTTTTAAATTATCATTTTTTTTTTATAAAGTAATGAAAGTTATATGCAGAGAAATAACTATTTTTAAAAATCTTAATAAATAGAAATAAAATAAAGAGAAAAAAGTTTATAAGTATTTAAAATATAATATATATATGTCATAGTATGTATTTCAATTATTAATTTAAGTATTTATTATAAAAAGAATAATAATTTTAAATAAGAAGATAAATAATAGAATAATTTTAGTAAAAATATGCATAAAATAAGTAAGAAAATTACGATTAAAAATAAAAAGAATACAAAGCGCAAATGTAAAATAAAATAAATATGCTTAACTTTTTTAATCAATTATTAGACTTTGAAATAAAAATATAAATGTGATTAATTTCAATAATAATAATAAAGATATATGTAAACATTATTTTCATAAACTAATAGAAATATGTTTAAGAGCTAATAAGAATTTACTAAAAAATCAAAAATAGAATAAATTTAAAAAAAAAAAAAATAGAATTTCTAAAATTATGAGAAACAATTGTTATATAATTATAAAAAGAAGAAGAACTACAAAAAATAAATTAAAATGTAAAAAAAATTAAAAAAAAAATAAAAAATCTAAAAAAATAGAAACTTAAATAAGCTAAAGAACAAACCAAAAAAAAAAATTAAGCATAAAATTTTGTTAAATTAATAAATTTATAAGAAAATTCGTAGAGAATATAAATTTTTTAAGAAAATAAAAATAGATAAATAATATAAAAATAAGATGAATCTGCATATAAACTATATCAATAAAAGTTAAAATTGCATTTTAAAAAGTAATATAATTTTATTAAAAATAGGTAAGATATTGACTAAGCTATTAAAAATAGATAATACTCTTATGTGAAAATGGAAACTGAAAAAGAGAATATAAAATATTAAATTGAAATTTAGTTATAAAAAGGCTATGGCATTAATAAAAATAAATTAATGTCAAAATATTAATCGTTATAAGGTTTATTATGATTAAATTAATTATAAAAATTAATATATATAAAAATATTATATATATATATATATATATAATATTATTTATATTTATAAATAAAATAGATATAAAAAGTTCATAAGACTATAGTTTTTAAATATGATTTGCTTATTTTTTAATATAAATTAAGATACTTTTTAATATATAAATAATCTTAATAAAATATAAATTAATAAGAATTATTTTTAATTATATAATTAAAGAAATTAATAAAAAAGTATATTATTTATATCTTATAAAATATTTATAAATTTATTAAATATAATATTTTATTTTTAATATAAATTAAGAATTTAAATATAATTCAAAATAAATTTTATAATATTTTTTTTTTATACCAGATAATAATTTTTTTATATTTTTTTTTAATATCATCATAATATATTAATAATATAAAATGTTATTTCCTTTTAAATTATGAGAAATTCATATATGTTACAAACGCAATACTTTTAGAATAAATATATTCATATATATATTTTTATTATAATTTGATAAAGATATGTAATTATAAAAATTATTTAAAAGTTAAGAAATAATTATTTAGGATATAATTTAAAATAGTAATAAAATATTGATATAGAAATACTATTGTGAGTAATTCTTGTTAATCATTTATGATGAAGGATTTTATTTTTATAATTCAAGCATTTAATTTATGGATTTAAATGTAATAATATCTCTAATTAATATTCTTGTTTGATATATACAAGATTATATGTATGGTGCTGTGATGGCAAACAATTTACTGATTTCGAATCAAATAATGGAATTTGAAGGTTTAGACTTAATTCATGTAATATTGATTTGAGTGAATGAAAAATGCATGTATTAAAGTTATGAAAGAGTTAACCCTTTTTGATCACCTATTAATAAAAAATACTTTTTTCTTTGATTATTTTTAATTAAGTATTTTTGTTTTTAATTTATTTTATAAATATATTGTATTAAATTTTTTTAATTATATTTAAATATCATATAAATATTGCTGTATTTGTTTTTTTATAAAATAATGTTAATAGATGATTATTAAATTTAAATTAAGTTCAAAATAGAAATATAGAATTATTCATATAATAATAAATATTAAGAATATTTAAATAAAATTACATAATAAAATATTATAATATATAAATTTATTATTAGAAAAAATAGTTAATTAATAAAAAAATTATTTATATAAAAATATACTAAAATATAAAATAATGGGTTCAATATTATCATGCTTTTCAAGTAATAAGTAATAGAATAAATCAAATTAAGAATAATTATCTGATATATAACATAAACAGATAATAACAAAAAAGCAAATCAAATGTCAGAAGAAGATAAGGCAATTATAGATTTGAAAAAAGTAAAAGACAATCTTTGGGAACGTTAAAAATAAGTATAATTAAATATAGATTAAACATAATAATAAGCAAAAGAATTTTTGAAATAAAAATAATAAGTACGAGCTAAATTTGCTCTTTAAAGAAAAAACTTTATGATAATTATCTAGATAATATTGCATAGCAAGATTTTATAATAAACAAAACTATAATTTAATTAAAGGAATGTTTTGACTAAAAAATTGCAGTTGATACACTTTAACAAGCTAATTAATTAATGAAAGATATAAATAAAGCAATAGATATTGAAGCTATGTAAGAAGTTAATGAAAATTTAAAAGAATTAGAAATAAATAACGAAAATTTTAATTAATTATATGAATAATATGTTGGTTAAGATGAAGATAAATAAATATCGAATGAAATAAATTAAATAGAATAAGAATTATTAAAATTCTAGCTAAATAATATACCTTAAGCTGAAGTAAAACAATAGGAAATTATATAATAATAATAATTATAATAATAATAATAATAATAATAATAATAATAATAATAATAATAATAATAATAATAGTAATAATAATAATAATTATAATAATAAAATAAATCAAAATTAAATTCAAACTAATAAAAATATTAAATAGAAGATATAGATGAATAACTAGCAATGTTAGCTTGATAATTCAATATTAAATTTTATAAATATTTTATAGATTTTTATTAATTTTTTTTTTTAAATTATTTAATTAATATACAAATAATTAATAAGATAAAGATAATAAAAGGAAAAATAAATATATATATATATAAATATATATATATATATATAAATATATATTTTATTTTTTTATATTTTTTATATATATATTTTTTAATTAAAAATATATTAATCTATTTTTTCATTTTTTTTAATTTCTTTTTATATATAATTTCATCTATTTTATTTTTTTAAATACTTTTTATAAATTTTTTTTTAATAGTTTTTTAAGCTTATTATAATTTTTATTTTATTTTTGTAATTTTTTAATTACATGCTTTTTTTTATTTCTATTTATTTAAGTCAATATTTGATTTAATATTTTTAGTACTACATATTCTATTATTTACTTTTGTTTTTTACTGCATTATTGTTTTTTTATAAATAAGTTTTCCTATAGATTTCTTAATAAATACCATATTCGGTTTCCTTTAAATTGCATAAACTAACTATTTATGATAATTATTATTTTTAAAAACAGACTTTTTATTTATCATAACTTTAGATTATCTACTTATTCATATTATAATGATTCAGTATTATTTTAGTATGGTAATTTTCTTTTTTCACTATATAATAAGCAAATTTTAATTATACTCAAATAAATTAATTTATTTAATATATCATTCTAGCCATTATAGAGTGTCAGCATTTTTTATTGTTATTGCTGTGAGTATCTTAATTTTTATCAACAATCAACCAAATTTATATATTTTTAACTTTCTTTGTTCTTTGGTTATCATATTAAAGTTTCAGCTGTTTGCTTTATTAGATTTAGTTTATCTAGCAGGTAAAGCAAATCCAGGTGTACCTTACATTGGTAGTCCATTATCTTAAGTGAGGTAAAATTAATGGAATTAATATTTCTAGATTGATTATTTAGAATGTTTTTTTAATTAAAAATAATTATTTATTTTAATTAGATTAAAGTTTAATATTAATTATTTAATTTTGTTTATTTATGATTTTTATATAATTTATTAATTATTTTTTAAAGAACTTATTTTATTTTTTTCTTGTTATATTTTTTTAAAATTTAATAGTATCATTATTTATTTAATTTATAAAAAAAAAAAATTAAGGAGAATAAATATCATTTTTTTCCTGGCTTTTTGGTATTTTTATCATCAACAGGCTTATTTTTAGCATCATAATTAGCTTGAAGTCCTGTAACTACTTGATTAAATTTCTTATTAAAAATATATATAATAAATTAATATATAAAAAAATAACTTTAAATTCTTTAAAGTCTTCTTTAGAAGTAAAAGGAGCATTTGCTAGGTATCCTAAAAATTCATTAATTTTAAGTTAATCAGAACTTAGCTATTAAAAAAAAAAAAATAACAAAAATTAAAATAAAATAAAAATATTTAAATACTCTTAAAATTCTTCTTTCAGTAAGTACTTTATCAATTGCCATTTTAAACTTAATAATAAGAATTACAAAAATAAACTTAAATATAAAAAAAAAATACTGATCCAGCAGGCCATCCTTCTGATATATGAGCAACAATATTAAGAGGGAAATTATCAGGAACTTTAATCCCTTTTTATTGAAGGAAATGTTTAAATAATAATTTTCTAGTTCCATAATTAGGGAAAGGGAAATAGATTTTTTTATCAAAGAAATTCTTCACATCTTTAGGCGAGCATTCCCAAGGCTTATTACAACAACCAATAAATACACATCTATCAGTAGGTTCGAAGAATTTTCCTTTTTTAAAATCTTGAATAGGTTTTTTCATTTTTGAAAATAAAGGATTAACAACAACTCCTTTTTTTTTTTTTCCTTAAGAAAAAATATAATCTAATTCATCACATATTATTATTGCTGGTTAGAACTCTTTGGCTACTTTAAAGGCACTATTTATTAAACCATCTATTGCTTTTTTATCTGTAAATTAGCCATCTATTGTTGATGGAGATATATCAATTATTAATGCATTACATTCGTGTGCAAGTGCTCTTATTGCTAATGTTTTACCAGATCCGGAAGGTCCAAAGAAACAAAAGTAATTCTATTTATCTAATTTCTCTTTAGCATAATTTGAACCTAGAGGAATTGCGATATTTTCAACTATAACCTTATTATTATTATTTTCTATTTTTATTTTATTTTTAATTAATTTACTTATCGAACTTAAGCTATTGATGGATCAGGCATTTTATTACCAGGCTCTTCCATTTTTGCTTTTTTTATTTTAGCATCAGCAATTTGCTCTGTTTATTTAAACGTTTCATGAGCTTATATTTCTTGTAGTTTTCCTAAAACATTCTATTCACCAATCAGATCCATAATTGAAGCTGGAAGAAGTTTTTTAACGACACCTTTATCTACTAACTATAAAAAAATAAATATAAATATATAATGCTTATATTATTTTTACTCCTGCAAGAATATCTTTTGGGTCTCTTCCCCTATTTACAGCATCTCCAGGGAATTTTTTTTTTTTTCCTTTAGGTTTTTTAGGTTTTTTGGGTTTCTTTGGTTTTTTTTTCTTAATATCATATCTAATTCTAATATTATCGAGTTCAATAGCAATCATTTAATCGACATAAGTTTATATTTAATCTTCTACAAAAGGTTTTATCTGTTCTTTTGCTAATTCAGTTTCATGCTTTTGCTCGAAATTTTGTGTTTCGTCCCTTTTTGACCAATCCTATGTCTACTTTAAAATTTATTCTTGAATTTTCAAAACTTATTCAGAAGGTCCTGTAGGCTTATTTGAGTCTAAAAACTCTTCTAATTCAGATGGTTTTCCTTTTTTTTTTTCATCTTTTTTGCCTCCTTATTTCTTTTTGGCTTCTTCTTCTGCTTTTTATTAAGCCAAAGCCTACTATTCAGGATCTAATACATTAAACCTTTCATAAAAATCGGTAAGGTCGACTGGCGCATCTTAAAATTCTCGATCTTCTAGATATTTCATAATCCATTCTCGTCTTTCTTGAAGCATTTTTTCTTTAATATCAGGGCCTTCATTATCTTTTACAATTTGCTTAAGATTTTCGAGTTCTTATTAAAAATCTTAGTAATGTTCTTCTTATAAAAATTTCAATTTTTGCCTTTGGTTTTGTGCCATTTTATATTAGGATTCTGGGAGATTTATATCTTCGGAGTATTTTTTCATTCCAAGAAAAATCTACTCTTATTCTCTCATTTCTTCTATTTCTTTTCGGGCTTTGTATCCTCGCCAGTATTTTTTTATTATTAAAGACATTATATCTTGTTCTTATTCTAAAGTCATTTCTTGCCCTTAGGCTAGTTTTATTTTTTTTTCTTGGTTTCTTATTTCTTCTTTTTTTAAGGCTTTTGCTAAAAGGGCTCTTTCGATTCCTTAACGGCCTCTTTCGTATTTTTATATTATTTTTATTGCCGTGTCTATATCAGCCTGGAGTTGACTTGTGTCTTCATATACTTCTTCTTAAGGCTCTTTTGTTTCCTTAAAATCTAGCAAAAGTTAGTCTACAAGTTAGTTTCTTTCGTCGAGTTTTTTCTTGTCTTCTTCACGGAAATAACGAGGAATTGGAATGTCTAAACAATCAGGAGTTAATTTTAAATCCATTACTAATTCATCCAAATTGGGGAATTCAGAACGGATTGTGGCATCATATTGTGTATTGTATTTTATTACTTGCTTTTTTTTTTATTTATTTTGTTTTTAATATTTATTTTTTTACTTGCTTGGTTTCGCACATACGAACAATTACTGTTTCTAACATTTATTTTAATAATACTCGCTTTTATGGATGTACTAGTTGATCGTAACAATCTTCCAATTTTTTATATATTTCAATGTATTTTATATATAATGTTGACCAAAAATGAAGCCATTATTAGTTGTCTCTTTTATATTTTATCTATTTTATTTTTAGTTTTTTTATTTAATTTTTTTTTTAGTACGCCAAGGGTTTGCTCGTTTTATTCAAGCGGTAAATTTTCTAATGTTATTTACTCCATTAAATCATTTATGGCTTCTTGCCATTTAATATTATAGAATTGGTTTGACATATTTTTATGTATTTATAATATATATTATATATTAAAATTATTAACAGTTTTATAAAAAATATATTTTGCTTTACATAAAATCAAATAAATTAATATTTTTATTTTATTTAGAAATAAAAACTTTTTTATTTATTAATTTCTTGTTAAATGTTTTTTATTTTTATTTGTATTTTTGTTTAAAACATAATGAACTTTAAAAAAAGGCAAAATTATTTATATATTCATGTTTTTTTTTTAACTGAGCTTAAAAAAAAATAAAGGAAAAAATAAAAAAACATAAAATAAAATAATAAATTATTTTTATTAAATATAGAATAAAAAGAATTATATAATGATTTATGCATATACATATACTTATATTAATGTTAGATTTTGCTTATAATTCATTTTAATAATAAATTATTTAAAAATTTAATAAAAAAGTAAATATTTTTAAAATATCTTTTAAAATGTAAAACTTTTACTAATTTTTATAAATTTCTTCGCACTTTTTTAATTTTTATTTTATTATATTCATATTTAAATAAAATTTAAAATAAACTTATTTAATTATTTTTTTAAGAAAAATATAAAATATTATTTTAATGAAATTTTTTATACCCTATATCCTTATTAAAATTAATTTAAATTAAAAATGCTAAAGACTTGTTGTTTTATTTGTATTAAATTAAATTTTAATAATCCTAATTTTTATTTCTTCATTTATTTCAGAATTTTTTAGGTTCTAAAATATTGTAAATTTTTCTTTAAGGTATTTGTTAATTTTAATCTATTTATATTTAATCTTTAGTATTAAAAATATTTTAATTATTATTTATGTTATTATCATTTAAATTTTTTTCACTACTAAATTATTAATACTAAATATTGTTTTAGGTTTATTATATTTATTATAATTTCATTTATAAAAAGTTTTCTATTTTCGACAATTCTATATCTTTTAAATTATTATTTTCTTTAATGCAAAATTAAACTAGTTCATTTATTAAATCTGCTTATCCTTTGCTATATGCTTCTTTATATTATTAATTTGCATTTATAAAAAATTATGTTAAGTTTGTAGAAGCTTACGTAAAGCTTTATTTTAGAACTTCTTGCTGATTCATTTAAAGATAAAATTAAAATATATTGAATTTTATATTTAATTAAATTTACTTTTATATTTATATATAATTTAATCAAATCTTTAAAAATATAAAAATTTATTTTATTTATATTTTGCTTTATAATATAAAAATTTAGTATTTTTTTTAATTATAAATTTAAAATAATTTTATTTACATATATAAGTTATAATTTCATAAAAAACAAAAAAAAGTGAATTTGAATAAATAAATTTTATAGAAAAAGATATTTTGAAATTTATAAATTAATATTAATATTATAATTCATTTAGAAAAGTTTTAAATTATATTATTTGTAAAAAATAAAATATTTGTAGTATATTTAATTTAATATAAATTAAAAAGCAATTTTTTTATATATATACATTCTAAACAGAAAGTATATAATTATTTATATTAAAATCTTTCTAAATATTAAATATTAAAAAATATAAAAGATAAATTTTAAATTTATATATGATTTATATTTATAAATAGCAAATTATTAAATAAATATTTAATTTTATAATGTAATAAAAATAAATATAATTACTAAACAAATTAATTTTCCCTCTATTTTTTATAAATTAAAAATTAATTTTTCTAATAATTTGATATACATTTATATTTTTTACAAAAATAAAAATAATATTTTTATTAAAGATTAAAGATACTCCAATCATATTTTAAAAAATTTAAGATACAGATAGTTATTTAAAATAAAGAAATTATAAAATATTACTATTTTTTCCATATAAATAAATAGCTAATTTAATATAATTGTAATTTTTAAAAAAAAAAAAATTAAAAAAAAAAAAAAAAAAAAAATGGCACCAAATAAAGCTCCTGCTTAAACTGAAAAAAAAGTTAAATAATAATCTAATAAAAAAGAATCAAAAAGACACAAAAGAAGAGTTGAAACTTTTGCTATTTATATCTTCAAAGTATTAAAATAAGTACACCCTGATGTTGGTATCTCAAAAAAAGCAATGAATATTATGAACTCTTTCATTAATGATTCCTTTGAAAGAATAGCCCTCGAAGCATCCAAATTAGTTAGATTTAACAAAAGAAGAACTTTATCTTCCCGTGAAGTTTAAACTGCTGTAAAACTTTTATTACCCGGTGAACTTGCCAGACACGCTATTTCTGAAGGAACTAAGGCAGTTACTAAATTCTCTTCTTCTTGAGATATTATTTTTTGAAAAGTTTGAAAATATTTTTTTTTTTTTATAAAAAAATAATATTTATTTGATTATTGGCTATCATATTATTTATTTTTATGTGTTGTTTTTAGTAAAATATATTTTTTTTTTATTTATAAAAATATATATAATGATGAAATATTTAAAAATATTTTGAAATAAATATTAAATTAAATATATATATATATATAGTTTTTTAAAAGCTTTTATTAATGGAAATCTTTTTATTATTATAATTATTTATTTATACCATATATGTTTTTTTTTTAATTAATTTAATTTTAAATATTTCACCTAAGCTATATATTTTTATTTATTAAGAAATATATTCTTTTATAATGTTTTATTTTTAAAATATTCTTAAAATATTAATTTATATATATTTATTTAATTTTTTTTAATTTAAATAAAAATATAAAATTAAAATTATTATTTTATTCTTTTTTATATTATTATTTAATATATAATTTATTTCTGCATGATTTCTATTGAATTTTTTAAAAAATAGATAATATATAAAATTTAATCAAGTTTTTTTTTTTTTGTAATATATTATATTAAATTTAAAATTAATTAATAAAGAATTTAATAATAAATTAAAATATAACATATTCTTTTGATATAATATATAATATAATATGATATAATTTATAAAAATAATTTTATAAAAAATTAAAAAAAAAATATATATATAATATAATTTATATATTGATATATATATTTTTAATAATTAAAAAAAATGGAATTTTAAATAGTCAAAGGTGGTTAAGATTATAATTGTTATTGTTGCTCATTATTATTCGATAGTGGTGAAAATTATAAACTCCATTATAAATCAGATTTTCATCGTTATAATTTAAAAAGAAAAATGATTGATTTAAGCCCTGTTACATTTGAAGAGTTTTAAAGATGTAAATTTATTTTAATTTTTAATTTATTTATAAAATATTTTTTATAAAAAGAATTTTTAAATTCTAGTGTTAAATCTTAAACCACTTCTTAAACAAATTGTCTAAAGTGTGTAGCTTGCAAGTAAAAATACTATTTTATAAAAATGCTTAAATTATATAATAAAAAGAAAAGACTTTTCTTCTAATCAAACATATAAGTAGCATATATAGAGTAAAAAACATGCGGAAAAAATGAAAAAATATTAATTGGATGAAAAATAAGTAAAATTTGACTTTATAGTCAATGAGAATAAACGAACTACATAGAATGATGTATCAATATGTTTGTTTTGTGATAAAATAAATGATAATATACAATAGTAAGAAATATATAAATATATATATATATATATATATATATATATATATTATATATTTATATATATATATATATTTACTTTTATTTATTTTTAAATAAAAAAGAAATCTAAAACACATGGAAATAAATCATGGATTTTTTATTTGTGAAGAAAAATATATTAAAGATTTAGAAGGATTAATACTTTTTTTGGCTAAATAAATAAATGAATAACTTGTCTGTATTTTCTGCGAATATCATGAAAGTAGACCTTTTCCAGATGCTGAAAGTGTAAAGAAACATATGATTGACAAAGGACATTGTTTTATGAATAATGAATTGTTCTTTTAACTTTATTGCGATTTTTATGATTTTACGTCTGCTATAAAAGGTATTATAGAATAGAATAAACAAGAACTCTATTTAAAATATAAGCAATCATAAATTGCATAAGGTGTAGTATTGAATGAATTAGGTGAGGCTGAATTGCCAAATGGAAAAATTATTGGACATAGGTCTTTGGCTGTATAATATAATTAATATTATAGACCAATGGCTTCTTAAGAATCAAAAATTAAAGCTTTGGTAGGAGAGGATTAATATAAATAAAATTAAGAATAAATAATTAAATATGAAAAAGAATTGGTAAATTTTTATTTTTAATTATTTAATATTTTTGTTATCTAGATTATAGAAAAATAAAAAGATTTAAAAGAAAGTAAAAACTACTATTTTTAAGATTATAAACATATAAATAATTTGAGATATAATAACTTAAAGTATTTTTTTAAAAAAATATTATTTAAGGTTTTTATAAATATATTTAATATATAGATTGGGATTAGAAACAAATAAAGTTCAAAATAGTCACGTATATTAAGGCAAATTATGATATGTATACTAAGAATTATATATGATATACGATATACTTTTTATTTTACATTTTTTTTTTTTTTTTTGAAAAAAAAAAAAAAAATTATATTTAATTAAAACTACAATTATTTACTTTTTTATTTTTGTAAAAATAAATACTTATAAATTTAAAATATTTTCAGTTTAAATTTAAAAAATTTAGTATTTTACTTTTATAATTTTTTGTTTGTTTAATAAAAGTAATTTATGTAAAAAATATGATTGTTATATATATTTATTTTTCAATATATTTTATAAATGAATATATTAATAAATTAATATTTAATAGTTTAAAAGAAAAAAAGCAATATTTTATTTATTTTAAATAATTAAAATAATATTATTTTAATTTGTTAGTTAAAAATTTATATTAAAAAAATAAAAAACATTTATGAAAATGTTTATTTTTTAAAATAATAATTTTTTTATATATAAAAATTTATTATCTAAAATTTATTGGATTTTATTATAATTATATATATATATATAAATATATTTAAATTTTAAAATAAAAAAAAAATACTAAAAATACTTAAGAATATATAATACAATATTTTTATATTTAAAAAAGCAAAATTAATATAAAAAATTAAGAAAAAAAATAAAATAAAAAAATAATATTAATAATAATAATTATTAAAAATAAATAAATAAAAAATGAGCAATTTAGAATAATAAACTAACTAAATAAAACATCCGAAACCCCAATAACATGCACAAGTTAATATCTATTAAATACCAGTAACAAGTAGTGCTCCACTTGAAAAGCAAAAAAAATAGATGAAATATACTAAGAATATATTTAATATAGATAAAATTCCATCCGAAGAATAAAAATAACCTGAACAAGAATAATATTCCAAAATTATACATAAAATTAGTGAGGAAATTCATTAAGAAAAATAAAAAACCTCATAAGAGTTAAAAACAAATATTTAAATAAACAATAATATAAAATAACATAATAAATAATAAGAAAATACTAATAATTATTAATAATAGTAAATATTTTAATAATAATAAATTTACTAACCAAATTTCTAATAATAACCTCATCCATATATACTCTAATAATCTTTTATTCCAAATTTAACTACTAATTTTATTAACACTCAAGCAAATTCTTATCCGACTCCCTTTTATGGGTAAAACATAATTCCTTAAATTCCTTAAATTACTTAAATTCCTTAAATTCCTTAATTTACGCCTTTATAAACTATACCTTTATAATAACCAGTAGGGTATACCATTCCTTTATTAAATTAGGTTTATTTTAATAATCAACCTCCGATAGGATTTAATACGTTTCCAAATAGTTAAATACCTTTATAAAATCCAATTGATTTTAATTAATAATAGTTTCAATAATAATAGATGCCAAATAAATTTGTATAATAAAATTAAGGCAATATATTTGGAAATTAACCAACTTTTTATTAGTATCTAAATCCTTAGTAATAATAATAATAGTAATAATAGTAATAATAGTAATAATAGTAATAATAGTAATAATAGTAATAATAGTAATAATAGTAATAATAGTAATAATAATAATAATAATAGTAGTTATAATATTAATAATAGTAATAATAATAGTAATAATAATAGTAATAATTAAATTATGGCGTTTAGGCTTAGAAAAATAAAAATGAAATTGATAAAATAAAAAAAAAAAAATTATAAAATAAAAGTTAACCTTTCAATCTGAAAGGAATTAATTATAATTAGTAATAGATAAATGAAAAAGTATTTTTTTTATTTGATTTATTCAAATATATATTAATTTTGTTAAATTTATAGTTAGATTCATAAAAGCAATAAGAAGAAAAAAAAATATAAGAAAATGAAGAACTAAGAAAAAAAGAATTAGAAGAACGTTAAAGAAAAGAATTAGAAGAACGTAAAATAAAAGAAGACGAAGAACAATAAAAAAAGCAATAAGAATAAAAAATAAAAGAAGAGGAATAACTTAAAATAAAATAAGAGGAAGAACGTTAAAGAAAAGAAGATGAAGAACGTAAAAAAAGGAAGAGAATGAGCTCAAAAAAAAAGAAGAAGAGCGTATAAGAAAAGAATAGGAAGACAGAAAAAGAAGAGAAGAAGAAGAAGAAAGTAAAAAAAAGAAGAAGAAAAAAATTATAAAAATTTTTAGAAGAATAAAGGCGTCCAACATTATAAAAAATTTAATATTTTTATTAGTAAAATTTTTTTTTATTTAAAAAAAAAAAATATTATAAAAATTAAAAGAATAAAAAATATGATGATTCTATATTAGGAGAATATATTCAAATAATATAATTTTAAGAAAGATAAATTATGGAAGTAAAAGTGGAAGCAAGAATACATAAAGGAAATTTTTAATAAAACTAATAAAAAATAAGAGCTGATTAAAATTAATTTAGTTAAAAGTATAACTAAGATGGTATGTCATAATAATAATAATAGTAATAATAATAATAACAATAATAAACTTTTATTTAAAGATAAGAAACTGATATTGAAGAAGTTCAAAAAAAAAAAGAACTGGAAGAATCAGCAAAAAATAATTGGCTTTAATAAATGACTCAAAATGAAGATGATGAGAAAAAAAAAGAAAAGGAAATAAAAAAATTAGTTAATTTATTAACATTTGATAATTTTGAATCTTTAAAAATATAGTTTTATAATATTGCATGTGAATCTAATTAATCTTGTACCAAATTAATTCTTAGTTTAATGGAAAAGGCTTGTACAGAAATGAAATATACTAATTTGTATGGATAATTATGTTCTTTTTTAAATTAATAGTTAAAAGTTAGTAAATAAGAAAATAATTAGAAATAATAAGTAAGATTTAAAGATTTTCTATTAGAATAAATTTAAAATAAATTTGAAAACATCGATTAAATTTATTAAATAAGTATATTTTTTGTTTAATTTAATTTAATTTTTTGTAAAAGAAAAAGATACATCAGAAATTACTCAAGAAAAAAAAACTGAAATTTAATAATAAAGAAAAAAAAGAATTATTTTACGTATTTTTTTTGTATTAATTTGCTTTTTTTATATATATTTTATTTTATTTTATTTAAAAAAAAAAAAAAAACCTAAAAAAAAAAACAAAAAAAAAGTTGTTAAATTTATTGGAGAACTCTTTAATTAAGGTGTTATTAATAATAAAGTCCTTTGTATAGTAAATTTCGAAATGTTAAATAGATATTTCAAAATAAATAATGGAATCGAAAAACTGGATGAATTGGACGATAAATATATAAGCAAAGATGACTGCTTATAAGGAGTAGTAGAATTATTTGAAAATAGTAATAAAAAAAAATCAAATTTAAATAAAAAAAAACTATAATTTAATATAATAAAGCTGGCCCAAAATTAGAACAAAAAAAGCAGATGTAAAATCCTAACCAATGGTAGTTGATTAAATATTAAAATAAATAACAGAAAAACAAACCGTAACAGAAGAAACAATGAACTAATTCTAAGTTGATGCTATTTAAGTACCTTTTGAATCAATGATGAAAATGTAAAAAATAAAAAAAATCATTTTTTTAACAAAAAAATTAATAAGTTTAAAATGCCTTATGGAAAAAGGAAATTTATCGCATAGAATGAAAGCTTTAATATAAAACCTTCTCGAAAGATAAGAAAAATAATGGTAAGAAAGGCTTTAAGATAAAGAAAAGCCAAAAACTCTCGAATAAATCAAAAGAGAGCATGAAGAAGATTTATTATTTAGGGCATAATAAGTAGAATAATATTTATAAACTTAATAAAAACCTCAAAAATATACTGAAAGATATGAAAAAAAGCCTACTATCTTTTCATAAAAAACACAAGATAGATATAGAACGGATTCTTATTAATAATAATAATTTTAATATACAGAATAATAATTTTATGGTGAAAATAAAATAAAGAGCACAGATGAGGCATATTCAAAACTTTATGGAAAAAAATAAAAAAATAAAGACTTTTAAAATTAAATAAGTAGTATATATGCAAAAATAATAAATGAATAAGAAAAAGCAATATAAGAAATAAAAGATTTAGTAAAAATAGATATAAATTAAATTCTTTTAAATTTATTAAATTAATGTTATGTGGAAAAAATGGAAATTAATAAATAAAGAATTGAGTTTATTAAATTAGTTATTAATTAAGGTGTATTTTCCTTTTAAAATTTAATAAAAAGTTATAATGCGCTTTTTTAACTTGTGTTTAATTCAGCTTGCGATTTCCCTCATATTCATTATTGTTTGGCTTTTGTTTATTGCTCGTTTTATATTGAAAATTAGGAGGACTTAAAAATTGATTTGTTGAGAATTTAATTAGGGGAGGATGAAGATGATAATGAAGAAATCATATATTTTTTTAAAGAAATTATGAGAGCATTTTGGAAATTTTGTAAAGAAAGGGTTTGCTTTTTTTTATATTTTTATTATATATTATTTTTTAAATTTAGAATAAAGATATTAAAAATGATATACATAGTGCATTGGTTAAAAATAAAATAAATGAAAATGATATATAAAGTTTTATGAAAGAATTTGAATGATGTTTTTTTTAATAATTGTTTTATTTTTTTGGATTATAAAAATTTTTAAATATAAAATTAAAAAAAAGGAGAGAAAATAAAATTATATTATTTAAAATTTTGACTTTTTCTTTTTCTCAAGTTTTTTTTATTTTTTGTAAATTTGTTTAGAAAATTTTATTATATTAAAAATCAATATAAAAAAATAAACTATAAATATATAAATAAATATAAATATGTAAATAAATATATAAAAAAAAATATACTTTTATAAAAATATAAAAAAAAATTTAGATATTTCATAAAAAAAATGTATTGAATAATTAATAAATTATAATAAAAGAAATAGAAATGAAATTTATCTAAATAAAATTAAAATTTATTTAATTTAAAAATTATGATATTTGTAAATATAAAGATAAAATAAAAAAACACAAAAGAAATTTAAAATAAAATTATTAAAAAAATATTATAATATAATATATATATATATATATATAATATATATATATTTATATATTTATTATTATTATTACTTTTATTTTTTTTTTTATTTTTATTTTTATTTTTATTTTTATTTACGTACTATTCTTTTTATATAATTATTTTAATAATTGTTCATTTTTATTTTTAAATATTTATTTTTATATTCAATAAAATAATAATTTATATTTTTATATTAATAATAATTTTAACTAAGTTTTAATTATATATTATATATATTTTTTTAGTTGTATATAACTATTTTAATATTTTTTAATAAATAATATTTATTAATGTTATCGTTATTTATTTCTTCTTAATTTAAAATAAAATAAAAATGCTAAATAATAATGTAATTTTTTTTATATAATTATAAACACAATTATGTATTCTATACAAAATAAAATAAATAAGAATGAAGAATAATTAGATTTGTAAAACTAACCGAATTTTTATGTTCATCATAAATAATTAAAAGTAATAATTTATTTAAAAAATAAAATAATTATTTAATAGCTTGCCTAAACAAGTTTTTTTATATTTTCTGATAAAAACAAATTTCGTTATTTTTGTGTTTGGTTAAACGAATGGAAGTAATTTAACTTATAAACAAAATATTATCATAAATAAAATAAAATAGATATTTTGATAATTTTATAATAATAACTATATTATTAAATACAATTACTTTAATGTTTACAGACTATAGATATCGTTTAGGCGATGAAAAGCAATCGGAATGGCGCTAAAGTTTTTAATATTACACTGAACTAATATTTTTAATCATATTTACTCTAGAATTTTTAATAAAAACAATATCAATGTCATTTATATTATCACCAAATGCATATTTAAGAGATGTATGGAATATATTGGATTTTATTGTAGTTTTAAGTGGAATTGTGAGCTTTATTCCTGGGACTTTTAATGTAAGTGCGATTCGAACAATTAGAATTTTAAGACCTTTACGGTCTATAAATTCTATAAAGGGAATGAAAATTTTAGTCGCAAGTTTAATCGAGAGTCTTCCTGCATTGGGGAATGTCGTTCTTTTTTTAGTCTTTTTGATTATAATGTTTGGGATTCTAGCTTTATAACTTTTTAGTGGGGTTTTCGAATATAGATGTAGGATTGGATAAGCCCCGGATAATGGATTTTGGCCTGCAGATGATAGTATTAGAAGATTATGTAATTTTTCAAGAAATAATTGCCCTTAGGAAAGGTTTTGTGGAAGTATGGGCGATTTTGGGTTACCTTAAAATATAAAAGAGAATTATTTAGATGAGTTTAATTATGGTTACACAAATTTTGATAATATTTTGATAGCAATATTTTCAATTTTTTAAAGCTTGACAACTGAAGGGTGGTCTAAAATAGTACTTATTTTAATATATGCATAAGAACCATGGATTGTTTATTCGTATTTTATTTTGTTAATATTAATAGGATCGTTTTTTGTGGTAAATTTAATTCTGGCAGTTATAAACGATAGTTTTGTTAATGAAGAATAAAAAATTAAAGAAAAATATTTAGCTTAAGAAAGAAAAAAATTAAGAAAAGAAAAGTATAATTTTTATAAATTTATATATTTTTTTTTTATATATATATATATTAATTAATTTATATATACATGTAAATATTTATTTAAAATTTATTTTTATAATTTATATTTAAATATCTTTACATTTTTTTATAGGGTTGTAAATTTATTTATTAATACACTTTTGAATAGAAAAAATAGTTCTTTTTATAAATTAAATGATTAATAAAATTAATTATAAATACTAGAAAATGAAAAAGTAAAAGAGGAAAATAAGATAAATAAAGAAACAGATAAAATAAAAATTATTTAATATTATAAAAAATGTGACGAATAATCTAAAAGTTAGATATTAATAAAATCTTAAACTTAAAATTATACAGAAAATAATACTTTGTTTATTCAAAAAATAAAAAAGTTAAAAAGTAAATACATAAAATAAGCCAAAAATAATATTAATAATATGACTTATTCATTTAAAAAAGCGGAATCTTAAACAAATATAATAAATTAAACTGATTAGTAGATTTCATTATTAGTTTATGAGAAAAATATTAATTAATAAAACTATATAGTTGACTCTTAATAGAATATATACATAAAAAACTTTTTAAAAGATGATATTAATGATGATTTTAACTTCCTAAATTCCCAAAAAGGACTTTTAAATAATACTAGCAATTAAAAGCATCGAAAATACTTTTCAGAAATGATGATGAAAACAAATTTTACTGAAAATCAAAATTCTGTAAAGTTATAAATATATAAAGAAATTTAAAACAACGAAAATGAAAAAAAACAAGAAATTTAAAAAGTTTAAAAAGATATTTAATATTTCAGGTTTGTAAAAATAAGTAGTTAATATATGAAAAAATAAAAAGCTTATAGAAGATTTTAAGAAATTGTATAAAAAGTTATTGAATTAAATAAATATAAAGAAAATTTAAATATATGGAAAGAAGAAATAAAAAAAAAATAAAAAATAAAAATAAAAACAAAAAATACTTTATAGTTTTTACAAAACAAAATAAGGAATTTAGCTGAATCTCGTGTTTTTTTAATTTTTACGACTCTTGTAATTATTGCAAATACAATCGTTTTATCTTTAGATAAATATCCAATAGATAATGCATATGAAAATAGATTAGAATTATTTAATATTATATTTACGTATATATTTGCATATGAAATGTGTATTAAAATTATTGCTTTTGGATTAAAAGGATATTTTAAAGATAGTTTTAATATTTTCGATTGTATTTTAGTGTTTTTGTCTGTTATAGAAATAATTTTTTAATAAAGTTCTTTGAATAAAAAGGTTTTTTTTTTTGTTTATTATATAAATTAAATACTTTATTTTTTTTCATTAACAACAAAAAAATATGTTTTGATAGATATAAATAGGCGGTTTATTTGTAACAATAGCAGGTTTTAGATCTTTAAGGCTTTTTAGAATAATAAAATTGATAAAAAGATTAGAAAACTTAAGGTTTTTATTAATTTCTATAGGGAAAACTTTACAATAAATAAATAACTTTTTAGTTTTAGTGATACTTTTTATTATAGTTTCTAGTCTTTTAGGTATGGAATTTTTTGCGTATAAAATTCGATTTAAAGACGATTTAGTGAATTTGGAAGATGGTGAATCTCCTGATGTAAATTTTGATAATTTCTAGAATGCTTTTGTATGTATTTTTATTTTATTAATTAATGAAAATTGGAATTAGATATTATATTATCATTTGAGGGCTTTTGGAGATTGGTCACCTTCTATATTTTTTATTACAGTTATTATTGTAGGCAATTTTATCTTACTTAAGCTTTTTTTGGCAATTCTTATTAATTAATTTTCATAAAATAATAACTAGTAATTATTAATTAAAAATTAGAATAATAATAATAATAAGGTTTTTTGTTTGTAAAATAAATAGAAATCTTTGAGTAAATCGTTTGAAAGTTTTTTTCTCAAAAATTCGAAGAAAAAAAATAATGATTTAAAAATGTTTATTTCTCTTTAAAATATTTCCTATTGTTAATCAATTATGAATTTAAAACCAATAAAAATTAAAGATAGTTTATTAAAAACAATACATAATAAATAAATTCTATAAAATATGTAAAGCTTCGAATAAGAAACTCCCTAAAAATAGGAAGAAAATTCACAATAGTAGAAGAAAATTTCCAAAAATAAGTTGAATCTCCCAAAAAATATTAAAAAAATATTATTAATTCATTAAAGTAAATCTAAATATATATATATATATATATATATATATAAATAAATTAAAAAAAGTAATTCAAGTATATTTAATAAGAATTAAAATAAATAAAGTCGTTTTAAATCAAATCTCGATTAAAATCAAATCCAAAAAATTCATTTATAAGGAAAGTCCTTAAACATATTTACTGAAAAAAGTAAACTTCGCATAATCTTATCACAAGTTTTATTCAATAAAAATTTCGAATACTGTTCAATAATAATAATTATAATAAGCTCCATAATCTTATGTATAGATGAACCTTTATAAGACCCCACAAGTCAAAAAGCCTTATTATTAAATATAATAGATATTATAATAACGAGTATATTTTTAACGGAATGTTTTATAAAGATAATAGTTTTCGGTTTTTTTTTAAATGGCAAAGATTCTTATATAAGAAATATAAATAATTTATTGGGATTTTATAATTGTAGTATTATCTTTGGCTGGTTTTTTCGAAGAAACAGGAAATTTACAAAAAGTGAAGGTTATAAGGCTTTTTAGAGTGGTAAGACCTTTAAGAATTATTTAAAAGAATGAAGGACTAAAAATAGCTATAAATTCTTTAATTTTTAGTATACCTTAAATGTTGAATTTAATAGTTTTGAGTATGGTTTGTTATTTACTTTTTGGAATTTTTGGGATTAATTTTTTCAAAGGGACTTTCTTTTATTGTTTTGGGGTAGATTGGGTTGAAGATAAGTGGGAGTGTATGGATTATGGAGGTGATTGGATAAATAATTTATATAATTTTGATGATATTGGCGAAGCTTTTATTTCCCTTTTTGTACTTTCAACCACTGAAGGATGGGTAGACATGATGATGAGTGGAACTAGTGCAAGAGGAGTGGATTTAAATCCGAAAAGAAAGACAAATCAAATATGGGTTTTATACTATATGTTATTTACAGTGGTTGGAAATTTTATTATTAGTAATTTGTTTGTTGGTATTATTGTTTCAGCGTTTAATTAGGAAAAGAAAAGACTAGGAGGTTATTCGATTTTGACTAAGGCTTAATAAGAATGGATTGATATTCGAATTAGAATTTAAAATTCGAAACCTATTATTGACAGAATAGAAATTTTTGATAAATAGAGGGTTAAAAAGATGATTTTATCGATTGTACATCATAGGCTTTTTGAACCCTTTATTTTATTATGTATTATTTTAAATACTCTCGTGTTTATGCTTAATTGGAATAGGTAAAGTGATGACTTATAGAATATCTTTAAAATTATTAATTATGTTTTCTTAAGTATCTTTACTATTGAATGTATTTTAAAAGTGTTTCTATATAAAAAACTTTATTTTAAGGATAAATGGAATACTTTTGATATTAGTATTATTTTTATTACTATTATAGGTATTTTTTTCTTTATATTAATATATATATTCATTAATTGTATTCTATTTTTTATATATATGTTTTTATTTAAAAAAAAGTTTAGGTATTATTTTAGAATAAACTAATTTATTTGATAAATTAGGGACAGCTACCTCCATTTTGAGAACTTTTAGAATTATAAGAATTTTAAGACTTGCAAAAAGGGCAAAATCTTTAAGATTAATTTTAAATACTTTTATTATTGCATTACCCGCTCTAGCAAATATCGGGTCTTTATTGTTTCTAATTTTATTTATTTTTTCTATACTTGGAATGAATTTGTTTCCTTTTATAAAATATTCAAATGAAGGAATTACTAAAGATATAAATTTTTAGAATTTTTCTTCAAGTTTTTTTACTTTATTTAAATGTTCGACTGGAGAATCTTGGAATATAGTATAAACAGATGTAATACGTGACATAATGCCTAATAATGTATGTTTTGAGATAAATAATTATAATGATTATATAAAATATGGTTAATATATATTATATAAATATATTATATATATATATTTATAAATATTTATATATATTAAAATATTTTTAATATATATATTAATATATATATTAATATATAAAATTATATCTATTTATTTATTTTAATCATTATATTTTTATTTATCTATTTTATTTATAAATATTAAAGGTTTAAATGGTTGTGGATCCAAGGTTGGATATATTTATTTTGTGTTTTTTTATTTGATTTTTAGTATGATTCTTGTTAATCTTTTCATTGCGGTTGTTTTAGAAGTTTTTGAGAAAATAATGTACGAGGAAAACTCCCATTTAAAACCTGGACAAATAGACGATTTTATATACTAATGGCAAAAAATAGATAAAAAAGCGACCCTTTTTATACAAGCTGAGTAGATATTTGAATTATTAAATAAAGTTGAATAACCTTTGGGTTGGAAAGATGTTAAATTAAATGAAAACTAGAAAAAAGTAATTGTTGGAAATTTAGGAATTTCTCTTTATATGCATTAATATAAATAAAATACTATAAAGTTTTATTTTTATTTTTATGATGTACTTTTAGCTATTACTAAAAAGTTTATTATGGATAAAATTCAAAACGAAGATGAAAAGTATTAAATTTTATATATTTTTTATTGTGTTATAATATATTATTATTTATAGATTAGAAAGTGAGAATAAAGGACATTATGTAAAATAAATAATGCAAAACTATAAAAATAAACTAAAAAAGAATTTAAAATAAAAAATTATTACATAATATGATTCGTCATATTTAGTAGCCGTTTTGATAATAAAAAAGGCATTACGAAAATACAGAATAAGGAAATAATAATTAAATTTATAAAGTGATACTTAAGAGAATTAAGATGATTTTAATTTAGTAAATAGAAAAAATGCAAATTGAACAATTTTATAAATATATTATTTTATAATAAAAATTCAATATTATTTAGGAGATTTTGGTGTAAATTCTCTTAAAAATTACGCTAAAGATACTCTTTGTGTATAATTACTTTAAAAAAATCTTCTAAAAAAATACTGAAAATCATTTTCAGGTATTTATATTCCTTCTTTTTCTATAAAATTTTAAATATCAAATTAATTTAAAAAACCTTTTTTTTCAAAATCAATTAAATAAAAAATATCCTTTAATTTATTTTTTTTAAAAAAAATCTGTTTCAGTCCTTCTATAGCACATTCATTTTCAATAATAGTGCATAAAAATTAAATAAAAATTTGTCTACTCTATTAACAGAATATATCTTATTATAAAAATTATAAATCATATCTTATATCTTCCACTAAAGGAGTATTTAAACCGAAAAAAATATCATTAAATTCCCCAAAAGTCAAAAAGCCGTCATTATCTTTATCGAATCTTCTAATAAATAAATACAAATCGTGTTTTTGAGGATATAATTCGATTTTTTCGAAAAAAATCTTAATTTCATTTACACTTATTTTACCTTTTCCATCTATATCGAATAATCTTTTATTTTATTTTAAAAAAAAATAAAATAAAAAAATCATAAAAATTTTATTTATATTTACCTAAATGCTTTTAGAGTATTAAATTAAGGAAAATTTAGTAATTTTTTTTTGATATATTCATGTTCTTTTTCTAGATTTATAATTTGTAAAATAATTTAAGAAAATTTTCTTTAAGATTCTTCAATTATTATATTTGATTTTTTATTTAAATTTTTAGTTTATTTTAGATTCCTTTTTTAATGATTTTATATAGAAATTAACGTTCTTTAATTAAAAAAAATAGCTTTAGTTTATTCTGAATGATTTTATAATTAGAAAGTATAAGTAAGTAAATTTTCCTTATTTTTTTTTTCTAATAAAAAGGCATTTTTTTCAAATAGTGTTTTTTATTTTTTTTCATTGTTTTTTTCAAAAAAATATAAAAATTACAGAAAATCCTACTTTTATATTTATTAGGTTTTTACAAGCTTTTTTTAATATAAATTTATATAATTTATTATATCTCTTTCATTTATATTATATATAATCCCTTTATTTTATAAATATTTTTTTAAATTTTCGACATTTATACAACCACAATTTAATGTATCTATTACATAAAATAGTATTTCTGGGTTATCTTTTAATTCAAAGTTCTCTAAAAGAATTTTTTTTTGTTAATTAAGTCTCTATAAAGCTAATATTTCTACTTCAAATAGTCTTGAAAGGGCAAGTTCGACATCAGAAGGTAACATTTAGTATTTTTAAATATCAATAACTTTTCTGTTTTCAACTATTTGTGTTAATTAAGGATTCTCAGAAGGCATTATAGCTTCTTTAAAATCTTAGTATGACCAAAAAAGATCATTATTTTAATCATAAAGATACATATATTATTTAATTTAATCTTATATATAAAATAAACCATTATTTGTCATGAACTCTTATATATTGGCTATTGAAATGTAATTTTATTCTAGTCTATCAAGCCTTTTAAATAATGTTTAAGGAATACAATACGGATTTTATGCTAATTAATAACGAAAATTGTTAATTTTTTAAGTTTCATCATTAATTTATAGAAGTAGATTTATAAATAATTCTTATGTATTTTTTGAGATCATTTTTATTTTTAAAAAGAAATAAAATTTTATTTTTAAATAAAGTTTTTTTTTTTATATATATATATTATTATTATTTTTTGTTAAAAAAAATATAATATTTATATTTAAAAAGTTATTTATTTAAATATATTTATCATTTTTTCTATATTTATTAGCCACTAAATCTTTTTTTGAATTCTTCAATTTCACAATCTTCCACTAAAAAATGAAAAATGAAAATGAAAAATAAAAATATAAAAAAAATACATTTTCTAAAAACAGGAATAGGTTCATTTAAATGTTATTCAGCAGGAACTAAACTTAAAATACCTTTAATAGGATCATCTTCTTTCAAAATATGTTAAAGAATACGCTCATCGAATTCATTTCTTTATTCAAATCCGAGCATGAAGTTTATTTTGGCACTTAAAGTAGGCATAAAAGGCTCAAAAAGAGCTGATAAAAATCTAATAGCATTAGTTAAAATAAATACAATAGTTAAATATCTTCCATTTTCTTAATTAATTTTATTCCAAGGTTCATTTTTTTACATATAGCAATTACCTTTATTTATAATTTTTTATTTAATACATATATAAAAAAATATACATTCTGAAGAAATCTACATAACTAATTTTAAAGCACTTTTAATCTCTACTTTTTCAAAACAATCAATATATTCTTTAAATAGTTTCCAGATTTAATCAAGCCATTTTTTATCTTCATTATTTATATCATTTAAATTTGCTTTTGGAACTTTTTTATCAAATTTCGAATAGGCAAATTTAAGTGTTCTTTATATTAAATTACCAATATTCGGTAATAATTCATTATTGTTTTTTGCTTAAAAATCGTTCCATTAAAATGTTGTATCACTCTATTCTGGTCTATTAATAAGTAAATAATACCTCCAAATTTCAACTGAAATTCCACTATTTTACGCATCATCCCCGAATACACCTGTTCCTAGTCTTTTTGAGAACTTACCATCTTCATAATTTAAAAACTCACAGGAGGACATATTATGTAATAAAGTCCAGTTTTATTTTGTGCCTAAAAGAGTTCCAGGGAACATTACACAATGGAAAGGAATATTATCTTTTCCTATAAACTAATATAATTTTACGTTTTCAGGATTTTTCCACCATTTTTCCCATTCGTCAACTAAATTTGCGGTTATAGAGGGATATCCTAAAGGAGCATCAAACCATACATACATTACTTTATTTTCCCAACCAGGTAAAGGGACAGGAGTTCCCCATTTTAAATCTCTGGTTATACAACGATTTTTTAAACCATTTTTTATCCATTGTTTTGATGTTTTTATTGCATTTTCAGACCATCCGCCTTCTTTTGAACGCCTTTATATATATATTTTAATTATATATTAATTAATTTTTACGTATCAATAAAATTATCGATTTATTATTCTAATTAAGGTAAATCTAAAAAACAATGTTTTGTTTCTACAATATTTGAAGGCTTTTTGCAAATAGTACATTTGGCATCAATAAGTTCTGTAGGATTTATTAATTTGCCACATTTGTCACATTAATCACCATGACAATCATCATGTTTACATAAAGGACAAGTTCCATTTACATATCTATCAGCAAGGAAACTCTTACAGGAAGCACAATAAGATTATTTCATAGTATCTTCAAGTATATATTTATTATTATAAAGATTCAAGAAGACATCTTAGGATATTTTAGTGTGTTTTTCGGTTGTTGTTCTACCGAATATATCGAAATCTAATTCGAACCATTAATAAACGTCTCTTTAAATTTTAAAATATTTATCACAAATTTACTGAGGAGTTAATCCTTCTTATAAAGCTTTCATTTCAGTAGCAGTTCCATATTCATCAGTTCCGCAGATATAGATAGTATTGTAACCTCTTAATCTACAGTATCTGGCAAAAACATCACCACTTAAAACACAGCCGATTATAGTTCCCAAATGAGGAGCATTATTTACATAAGGAAGTGCAGAAGTAATCAAAATGTTCCTTTCTCCATCTTTTGGAAGAACAGGTTGTCCTTTATTCAATCTATCAAATCTTAAAGAGTTAAATTTCGCCTTATATATAGGATCTATTGTATCTATTTTGGGAGCTATAGGAGCTTTTTTTTATTCTTCTTTTTTTCTGGTTTGTGGGCTTTTTGAGGTTTTTCTTTTTATTCTTTGGGTTATTAAGACTATTTTTATTCTTTTTATTAGTCTTCTTGTTTTTAGACTTTTAGGAATTTTTTAACTTCCTTTTGTTTTATTTAAGATTCGGCTGAAGATAGTACTTAATCAAATTTATTTGAACATTCTTTATACCATTTTTGGATATTTGTATAGTTTTATATTTAATCGGAAGAGTGTTTTTTTATTCTACAATAAGCTAATATATCAAGTTCTCCTGCATTTTAACCGCTTATATATAGTCTATGGGAAAGTAGAGAATTTAATTTTGTTAAAGACTAATGAGTTATGGTTTTATTATTCTTTTTTTTTTTTTTTTAGTTAAAAATATTTATTATTTTTATTTTTTTTACTTCTAATTGGTTACATATAAAATAAAAATCGGAAAATAATGGGCAGTTTAATGTAATATTTAACATATATTGATATATAGCTGATAGACCATAGATAATTTCTCCGTTTTATTATTTTAAATGCTCAAGCGGAATTTCTAAATCTTTTTTATTTTATTTTATTTAATTTTAGTTATTTTTAGTTACTTTCATCTTTGAAAAATTATATTTATTTTTAAGAATGGAATAATGTCGATGAAGCTATCAGAGCTTGTATTTTTGTTGTATATTTGGGGAATGAAATTTCCATTTATTTATTAGTATTTTTTAATAAAAAATATTATTATTACTATTACTAAAAAAATATAAAATAAAAAAGATTTTTTTTTTATGTATATCATATCAAATTATTTAATTTACATATAAAAGTATGCGTTTTTTTTTTTTTGTAAAAAAATAAAATATTTAATACATCTATATATTTTAATATAGTTTTATTTTCATCAAATAATTTATAAAATACGAATTTTTAATAATATTTTAAAATAAAGAAAATATTATATTTTTTTTTATATCTTTATATATTTTAATATGTTAATTTTACAATAATTTAAATAATAAAAAATGCCTATAATAGAAAACTGAATTTTTAATTTTCGGGAAATCACAGGAAAATAACTTGAATAATTTACAAGCATTTTTACCAAAATATTTTTATTTCTCTTTTTAAATTTTCTAAACTTTCGTTGATTTTTTAATGAATTTTCAATAATAGATTCGAAATTAATAATAGAATGTCATTAAAATATATACTTTTCAAAAACTATTATTTTTTTCTTGAAACTCCATGCTCAATAATATATAATCTAAATTAAAATCTTCTAATATTAAATAAAATTATTTTTATAAATGTATATGCTTTAAAATCTTCGAGAAGTTTTTTTTATATCTCACCTTTTATTTTTGTTATTATCATACTTAGTATATTATACATATTTATGAAAAATAATACTTTTAATGAATTTTTTTAGAGAAGATCTTATGTATTTAAAAAAGGTAACAAATGAAAATATTCTTTAAAAAAAGTGCAATATTCAATATTGTCATTTGTTTGTTGGTAATCCCTAAAAGTGCTTCTTGTTTATCATATTTCTGTTTCTTTTAAAATTTATTTTATTATTTTTACTTAGAGAAACATTAAAAGTTTTTATTAACGAAAGTCTTTGATCTTCTGGAGTCCAAAAAAAATGGGGAATTAATCAAAAATGTTGTAGAATTTCATGACATAAATTTACTGTTTTTTATTAAGAGATTATTCCTGAAAATCTATCATCAAGAAATTAATATAATTCAATAGAATCCGTAAATTATTTATTGTTTATAATATGATATATTAATTAGAAATCTTCTTTTGGGTTACAAAAATAGTATTCAGTCTATTATTCTAATTATTTTCGGGGTTTTTAAATTTTTTGGGATTGTATTTATATACTAAGAATGTAATAAACTAACATTTTTTAAATATCTATTAAAATAATTTAAGTATGTATGATCAGGTTTTCCCAATTTGGTCATACTATTTTTTTTTTGTTTCCTATTATTTATTAAATATGATAAGCTATTTTTTATAGGGGAAGAGTTTATTAAAGGTAAATGCTTTATTTTTATTTGTAATTTAATTTTTAATAATAATTATTTTCAATGTTTTTTTTTTTTTTTTCAATAAAAATTTATAATAACTTAATATAATATTTAAATTATATTTTAATTATTAAATAATTAAAAAATTTATGAAATTCTTTTATTTTTAAAAAATTTACCAAGTTTTAACTTTTTATGAAAAATAAATATAAATAAATTTGATAATTAATTATAAACACTTTATAAATTTTATATATTCTAAATAATAAAATTAATAATATTACATTTTATTATTTATTTAATCCCTAGATTAAATATTTTTTTGTTTAAAATATTAAATTAAATTTTATGATTAGGAAGGAGATAATTATTTTTTATTCATATTTATTTTATTTTAATATTTAATATAATTCTTTTATTTATTATTTTAGATGCTATTTATTGTTATATAGATCTTTATTTTTTAGATAGAATAAATTAATTAGTTTATATTTTGTCTATTATTATTATTTTTGGTTATTTTACTAAAAAAGTTTATAGACTTTAAATATTTTTTTTTAATTTATAATTTTTTAAAAAAATTATATTAATTTTATTAAACTAATTTATTTTATATAAAGGTTTATAGTTTTTTTCATAACCATTATTTAAATAAATTGTTTTTTTTTTTTTCGTTTAATAAATAGTACTACCACCTTAAAATTTATTATTTAGAATAATTATTAGAAAAAATTATTAAATTACTATTCTTATTAATAATTTCTAGTAAAAAATTATTTAATTATTCATCACTTTAAATAATTAATATAAGTTATAAATTCTTGCTATATTTAATTTAAATAATCTTTTCTCATTATTCTTGTTTATTTTCAAATATGAAAAAAAATATTTGTTTAAAGAATAGATAGTTTTTCTGGATTCTCTTATTTTTTTTTCTATTGATTTTTAAACTTTTATGGCTAGTATATATTATTTTTCTTATATATGGAAATTTTTTATAATACTTCTATATAGAATTCCATTAATTATTTTAATCCCTAATTAATGAATTTTTCATATTAGAAAATGAAAATTAGGCGCTTGTATACATTCCATATAGATTATTGAATCTTATTTAATTTATATCTTTTTTTTATAATAAATTATAAATATATCGTTTAAATATAAAGAGTTTTGATACTAAATTTTGTTAAATATTTAAATAAAATTTGTATTTAATATTTTTAAATTATACCAATGATAGTTATTAAAAGGTTTTAATTTTATATAAATGTATTCTTTATATTAAATTTCATTTGTTTTATTTGAAAACGATTATTTATAAATTAAATATTATAATATTGCTATATAAATGATCTTGAAATAAAGTTTAGTTAATATATTCGTAGAATTGTCATAAATCTATCAAAATTTGAATAATACCTAAAATAATATGGATTATAAACTTTTATATATAAGTAACAAAAACATATACGATTTATATATTGATTTAGGCTTTTAATTTAATTAGTTTATTGAATTAAAAATAAAATAAATGACAAATATCAATACAAATCCACCTAATTATGATTTAAAAACAAATTAATATAAAAACCTATTGGAATTCTAAATAAATATATTTTAATAATATATGTCTTATATATAAGATATAATTTTTTATTTTAATTTATTATTTAATGTTAAAAAATATAGAAAAAAAAATATATATATTTATAATAAATAACACATATAAAAATAAAAAATATTATACTTATATAAATTATAATATCATAATATTTATATTTAATTGTTTAAAATTTAATAAATTAATCATATTGTATTAAATTTATAAATATTAATTTTTTATAAAAGAAAAAAAATGTATTAAATAATAGATTGTTTAAAAGTTATTAATAAATATATAATAGCATATAATATTCTTTTTATTTTATTCATTAGGAAACATTTTATTCTTTCTTTTATAGATTGTATACTTTTCATCAAATTTGTTTCTGGCTTTTTAACAATTAGTTACTTAATGTTAATTAATCTTTAGTTAATTTTAATTATTATAATCCAAAATCTATACTCATTAAATCCGCCCAAATTAAATGCATCTAAATATAAAGTTAAAAAGGATATAAATATTAAAGTTAATTTTAAAAAGAATTAAAAAAAATGATTACTTCACTAATATAATTACATTATATTTTTCCGAAATTACAAAAATGGTTAGAATAATCTTTTATTTTTTCATAAAAAGTTTTTTTTATTTCATTTTCTGTATAATTATTATAAAAACCAAATATTTTTTCTAAATTTTATTCTTCTTCTGTTTCCTATTTTTGTTTTTTGTTTTTTTTTTTGTTAATTATAATTATATTTTATTAAAAAAAAAAACATTCGGAAGCATATAATTAAAGGCTAAATTTTTATCTTAAAGTAATTTTTATAATTATTATTTATCAATTGTATTATTATTAATTTACCATTTATTAATATCTTTATAATAGAATAGTTTTTCTTTTTTATTTAATAATTTTTATTATATATAAAAATAATCTTTTTATGACTAATTTCTTTAATTTATTAACTAAAAATAAATAATATTAATATTTTAAGAATGAAAATTATTTACGTTTTTCATTTATATAATTTCCTTATTATAAAATTTAAACCATATTGAAAAGTTATCTTATATTAATTATATTTATCCATTAAAATTATTACTAAATATATATATATATATATATATATATATATATATATATATATATATATATATATATATATATATATATATATTATTATTATTTTTTAAGAAAATTAATAAACCCCCAAGTAATAATCATTTTATTAAATTTTAATATATTGATTCTAAATACATATTCTTTTTTTATTATTATTATTTTTATTTTAATTTAGAAATTAAACTAAAATAAATTAAAATACATTATAATATTAAGATTAATTATAATTAGATGTATATTATTGTAATTAAGTAAAATTATCTCCAATATTAAAAAGAGTACTTGATATTTAATCAAAATCAACAATTAATTATTTGAAAGATTCTCTTAATTTTTTATATATTTTTTCTGAATTATTTAAATATTATTCAGTATTTTTAATAAATTCATCAGTTTATGAATTAATATGATAATCTCCCTTTTTTATTTTTTTAAAAAAATAAGATAAGATAAATACAAATCCATTTAAAGTTTATATTTAATAATATTTAGTAGGCTTTTATATCTTTTCAGATTTTTTTTTATTTAATTGAATTCCTTTTCATTTTTTTCTTATAAAAAATACTCTAAATATTAACAACATTTTATTTCTTCTATACATAAAAGTTTATTCAAAAACATTTACAAAAAAGCCATTCTTTTATTTTAAGATTATGGTTATAAAAGTTTTCTCGAATTTTTTTTTGGAATGGGAGGTATCTTTTTTAATTATATTTATTTCTTTTTTTTTAAAAAAAAAAAAATTGTTTTATTTATTTACACATAATTAAGGAAATAATCTTTATAAAATATCAGAAATCCATTAAAAATCTTTAAATTTTCTCTTTACTATCCAGTTTGTATTTATTGTTTATATTGTATATAGTATATATTATTTTTTAAATAGGCCAGCATCCAATTTTTCATAACTTTTTTGTTAACAAAAGATTTTTTTATTAAAATAAACTTAATAATATTTTCTTTTTAATAAAATATACTTTAAAATTTAACATTCAATATTTTCTTTTTCAAATAATGTATTTGTATTTATTTTTTAACATGAAAATTAATAACTTTATATATTTTTTTCAATTTTTATTTCTTCTTAATTATTCGTTTTTTCATGTTCTTTTTATTATTAATTTTCTAGATTTTAAGTCTCATTATTTGCCATTTATATATTGTTTTATGTTTAAAATAGTTATGGTTATATATCGCCTAATTAAAATTATTCTGTTTAATAATCTTATTGTAATGAAAATCTTAAATTAGTTAGAAGTTCATTTAATCTTTAATAATCGAAATTGCCTTATTTGACATCTTTTTAAAATGATTATACTAACTTTTATTTTTCATTATTTTTTTTTTTTTTTTTTTTTTTTTTTTTAATACAAATTTTGTTTCTTCAAAAGAAATAACATCTAGCCAATCATCTCCGACTTTTTTTATTTTAATTTTTAAAGAATTCTATTTTTTTTACAATTATTTGTTGAATTTTAAACATATTTTATAAAGTATTCATAATCATATAATTTATTTATTATGTTTTCTTCAATATATTATTATTTTTCCATTTTTTTAATTTTTTGTTAATAGTATATTTATTTATTTATACACAAAATTAAAATTAATTTTATATATTTTTTATATTTATTAAATTAAAAAAAATTCTTAAATATCTTTATATTAGGTTATGATAATATAGAAAAAAAAAAAAAATGACATAAAAAATGAAAATTATACTTAATAAAACTATATATTAAAAAGCATAATTTAAATTATTATATTATACATAATTTATAAAAAATAAAAGGTATTAAAATAAACAAAAAAAATCATTTATCAGCCTTAAATGAAATTGTTTATTTCCAATTGTCAACTTTGTTTAAATCATATTTTAAAAGATCTTCTAATTTAATAAATTCTAAGGCTTTTAAATGTGTGGCATTTAAATTTACATAAGGGGCAACTCCAGCCTCAAAAGCTTCCAACCCTTTTATTTTATTATAAAAAATAAAAAAATATAATTATAAAAATACATCTTAAAGCACATAAACACCAACAATCGCCATCTTTTAAACCTGGAAAATTGTGTTCAGCGATTGGTGTAATTAAATCATTTCCTTTCATTTTGGAAAATTAAAGAAATTTATCATTTACTTTTACACATATAACATGTCTTCCTTAATCAAATTAATTTGTATGACAAAAACCGTTTCTAAAAAATCCTGTTTTTGGGCTATTACAACATAATTCTAAAGGTTTTTATAAAACGTTTAATGCTTATTTAAATTACATATGTATTTTTTATTTTGTATATTTTTATTTTGTATATTTTTTATTTTTTATTTAAATTAATTTTTTTTCAATAATATAATGGGAAATCTTTAAAAAAATTTTATGGAAAATTAATTATATATTAATCAAATTTTCCTTGTTTTTATTCATGAATTTATTGTCCGTATTTAAAATTATTTTATTTTATATCTTTTTCTTGTATTTAATGTTATTTTTATTAATATTCAATTGAATTTGTATTTTGAGAAAAAAATTAGTCATCTTTTTTTAAAAAGGAATTATTTGTTAAATTTTCATTATAAATATTTTGTTCATCTTATTAATTTATGATTTAAGAATTTTTATTAATATAATTAAATATTTCATCAATATTGTCTTATGGATATATTTCTTATGGACTTTTAATTAAACTTTATTTATTTACAGATTAAAAAGATTATTTTTTTCGTTTTAAAATGAATATTATTTTATATTAGATATACTATTATTCGATTGAATTTGATTTTCTTAATTTTATTATTCGAATAAATTAATAATTTTCAAAACATCATTTTTATCATTATAGTAATTATTATCTTAAAACTTATAAGAAATGGAAGTTTATTTATTTTTAACGATTTCTAAAACTTTATTTTTTCTTATTTTCTTTAATGCAAATTCATCTTTAAATCTAACGGAATTTCTTCGCCTTCTTATTAAAAATAAAAAAAGTAATTTTTTCTAAAATATTATTATATTTTTCATCTTCTTCTTTTTAAACTTCTTTTATTTCATTTTAGTCTTTTTATTTTTCTAAAAGGATAAATTTTATTAAATTTTTTAATTTTTTATTGTTTTCTTCAAATTTATCTTATATTTTTTTAATAATTTTTATTTAAAAATCAAACAATAAATTCATTTATGCTTGTTTTTTATCATATAAGTTTTTTTTTCTTAACAATGTGTTATTTTTTCTTTGATTTTTTAAAATATTTCTTTTTCAATTTCATATTTTTTTATTTTATTTTTATTCCTTATTCCAATATTTACATTTTCAATTTTTGTTAGGGATTTAATTAATATTTTTCTTATATTTTTTTATAAATTTTAATATTATTTAAACTTCGTTTTCAAAATAATTTTATTTGTACAAAAAATCTCCTATATCTAAAATACAAAACTTGTGTTATTTAAATTCTTCCTTATCTTTAATAAAAAAATTATAAAAAAAAATTAAAACAAGATGCTTTTCTTCATGAATTTATTAAATATTTTATAAAAGAATTTCAAATTCTTGCAAAGAATTATATTTATATAGGTTTTTTTCAAGAATTTTATAAAAAAATCGCTATTAAATTAATAAAGAATCTCTTTAAGATATTTTTTCATTTAATTTTTATTAAATAAGTTCATAAATATAATTTATTTTTAGAGATTATATTAAAATTTAATTTTCAAGTAATTAAATACTTTCTTATAGTAATTAAATTTCTTTATATGTATTATTTTTTATTAAAATAATTTTTTTTTTCTTCTAAAAAATCCTCTATTTCTAAAATATAAATATCTTCTTTTTTTCTTTTAATTCTAATAAATAATCCATACAAATTTATTCTTATTCTTATTATAAATTAACTTATTATTTTAAGTTTTAATATTTTTCCTTTTATATATTTAAAAAAATATTAAATAGAAAAAAAAAATAGAAAGATGTACAAGAACATATATATATTAAGAAAATATAATAAAAAATTTTAAATATAAATATATATTTATTTATATTTATAAATATATATTTTTTTTTAAAATATTCAAATATTTTTTTTTTATTTTATACTTTAAATTATTCTTAATAAATATTTAAAGTATAATTTCTTTATTAAAGTGCATTATGACTTAATATATAATAAACTTTTTAGTTTTCTTATTAATATTATTAAAATTTATCTATAAATTTTTGCATATTTATTATATTTTAATTAATTTTGTTTTATAATTCAAAAGATACTTTTTTTATTAATTATATATTTTTTATTCCTATTTATATTAAAAATTCTTTGAAATATTGCAAATTTAACATTTTTGTATTTATTTATATTTCTTTTTTTTATATATATATATTCCAAATATCAATTAAAGTATATTATTCATTTAATATTATATCATTCTATTCTATTTAATTTTTCTAATTTTAAATTATTATATATAAATGAAATTAATAATATAATTTAAATTTATATTTATATTTATTAACATGAATATTTTTTTATATATAAATTTATTTTTATAACTTCATTTGTTTTCTCAATATATTCTTTCATTTGTCTTTTTTTAAATTTTAAACTTTTTAATTTATTCTTTTTCAATTTCAAATTCTTTTAATTTTTTTTTAAATTTTACGGAAACTCCTAGTTTTCAAAAATTTCTTCTAATATTTTAAATAATTCATATATTAATTCATTATTTGTATCACTATTAAATATAAAAGCATTTGTTAAATGTCTTTCTATAAAACATTTTTAATTTACCTCTTATTTTTATTTATTAATTTCTAATTTCTGTATTTATGGTATTAATTATATATTTAATTTTTCCAAACTTTGATTTTTATTAGTTGATATTGGATTTATTACCCCTAATATTTTTTTATTTAGTTTATTTGTTTTGATATATTATGAAGGATAAATTTTTAATTATTAATTAATATATGTTTTTTTCATTTCCCTTATATTTTATTTTTTAAACAAGAAAAAAAAAAAAAAAAAATTAGTATTAATAATAAATTTTTATAAAATAGTAAATAAAATATTTAAATAATAAATATTATTTATTTTTATTAATTTTATATAAATAATTTTTAAAATTGTTAATTTAAATAGAAATTTTAATATTTATATTTTAATAAAAATAAAAAAAAATTCATTATAAGACATTGTTTATATTTAATATTATTTAATAATTCCATTTAATCTTATTTAAAAAATTTATAACGTTTTTTACAAATTTTTCTATGCTTTATTTTTGTTTATTTAAAAAAATTCAAGTATAGTATATTGTATAAATTTTTATTAAAATTAAATTCTTATTTATGATTTTAATACATTTCATATGTTTAATTCGATTTAAGTATTACATATATTATTATTACTATTATTTTCCCAATATAATTATTTGTTATTGTATTAATAAGCAATTTATTTTATGCTAAATAAAATGAAAAATAAAAAATATAATAAAAGAATTAAAAATCATATAATTTAATAATAAAAAAAATGATTTTGTGAAGTTAATATAAGAATAAATAATTAAAATTATTGAATTGAAAATGTTTATGGCAAAGTTTATAATAATAATGGGATATATGTTTATAAATATAAGAATAAAGTATAATTATGTGATTGAAAGAAATATCATTATATTCATATTTAATTATTATATTATAAAAAACTATGCTTATAAAAATAAAGATAATAAACACATATTCTGAATCTATAAAAAATACTGAATAAGACTATAATATTATCTATATAAAATATTAGAATAATTTAACATTTTGTTTTTATATTTATTAATGATTTTATATATATATTAACAATGATATTATATTATAAAATGATTATAAT